GCAGGGCTCACGCATACACACAACACAACTTTCAACAAGCACACACATCCTGAATACAACATCTCAAAAGGGCAGGTATGAACATGTATGTTAACAGGCCCAAACGTATAACTTCTCTGTAGCATATTAAAAAATAAAAGAAGCAAAAGTAAATAAAATTAAAATTACATTTAGGAATCAGTGTTTCAGAATCCTTTCTCAGAAATTAGTTAGGCATCTAATCAATATCCATAAACTCAGTATCAGTCCAAGGTTTTATGATACCTAAAAATCTTGGAAATTAATTTCCCAGCTGGCATACTACAAAATATAATTACTGTTGAAAAAAAATGTTCAGAGTATGAATCATTTTAGTTAAGCACAAATTTAGGTATTTTATAACTTTCAACATCAAATTGAAGTAATGCTAATATAACCTATATAAGTCTAGGAACAACATACACATGTACAATAAAAATGTAAACTAGTCTTTTTTTTTTTTTTTTTTTTTTTTTGAGATGGAGTCTCGCTCTGTCACCCAGGCTAAAGTGCAGTGGCACCATCTCAGCTCACTGCAACCTCCATCTCCTGGGTTAAAGCGATTCCTCCTGCCTCAGCCTCCCAAGTAGCTGAGACTACAGGTGCCCACCACCATGCCCGGCTAATTTTTTTGTATTTTTAGTAGAGACGGGGTTTCACCGAGTTAGCCAGGATGGTCTCGATCGCCTGACCTTGTGATCCGCCCACAGCCTCCCAAAGTGATGGGATTACAGCCATAAACCATCCCACCCAGCCGTAAGCTAGTCTTTTACTTAATGCTGAAAAACCAAAGACGGCAGTGGTTCATGCCTGTAATCCCAGCACTTTGGGATGCTGAGGCAGGTGGATCACCTGAGGCCAGGAGTTGGAGACCAGCCTGGTAGAGCTGGGGTAAAACCCCATCTCTACTAAAAACACAAAAAATAGCTGGGCATGGTGGTGTGTGCCTATAATCCCAGCTACTCGAGTGGCTGAGGCAAGAGAATCGCTTGAACCCAGGAAGCAGAGGATACAGTGAGCCAAGATCGTGCCACTCCACTCCAGCCTGGGCAACAGAGCCAGACTCTGTCTTAAAAAAAAAAAAAAAAAAGCTCCATGCGGTGGCACATGCCTGTGATTCCAGCTACTTGGGAGGGGAGGTGGGAGGGTTACTTGAGCGTGGGAGGCAGAGGCTATAGTGAGTTGAGACTGAGTCACTGCACTCCAGCATGGGTGACAGAGCAAGACCCTGTCTCAGAAAAATTAAAATTAAAATAGATGCCAGGCGCAGTGGCTCACGCCTATAATCCTAGCATTTTGGGAGGCTGAAGCGGGTGGATCACCTGAGGTCAGGAGTTTGAGACCAGCCTGGCCAACATGGCAAAACCCCATCTCTTAAAAAAAAAAAGAAAAAAGAAAAATTACACAGAGTTTCCATATACAACCATCTTTCCTCCCTCTCACCAATGTTTCTCCTAGCATCTCGAATTGGGTGTGCTGCATTTATTACAACTGATAAGCCAATACTGCGTACATATTTTACATGAGCATTCACTCTTTGTACATTCCATAGGTTTTGACAAATGCATAATATATCATGTATCCATCATCACAGTGTGAGACAGAATAATATGCTCCCAAAATGTCCTGTGGCCCACCTAGTCAACCTTCTCTTCCTCCCACTGATCATTTTTTTGCTGTCTCTAGAGTTTTCTCTTTCCTCACAATGCTGTATAGTTACAATCATACAGCATATAACCGTTTCACCTTCTTTCACTTAGAGATATGCATTTAAGGTTCCCTCATGTCTTTTCATCACTCGAAAATTCATTTTATTTTATTGGCCAGGTGTAGTGGCTCACACCTCTAATTCCAACACTTTGGGAGGCCGAGGCGAGGGTGGGAGGATCACCTGAGATCAAGAGTTCGAGACCAGCTTGGCCAACATGGCAAAACCCCGTCTTTACTAAAAATACAAAAATTAGTGGTGGCAGGCGCCTGTAATCCCAGCTCCTTGGGAGGCTGAGGCATGAAAATCACTTGAACCCGGGAGGTGGAGGTTACAGTGAGCCAAGATCATGCCACTGCACTCCAGCCTGGGCAACAGAGCAAGACTCCATCTCAAAAACAGAAAAAAAAGAAAAGAAAGTTCATTTCATTTTATCACTGAGTAATATTCTGTTCTATGACCACAGTTTGTTTATGTATCCATCTATTGGAGGACATCTTAGTTGCTTCCAAGTTTTGATCATGAAGAGTAAGGTGGCTGTAAATATTTGTGTGCAGGCTTTTGTTTGGACATAAATTTTTCAACTCATTTGGGTAAACACCTAGGAGTGTAAATGCTGGATTTTATGGTCAATCTCTGTTTAGTTTTGTACGAAACTACCATACTGTTTCCCAAAGTAGCTGTAACCATTTTGCATCCCCACTAGCAATAAATGAGAGTTCCTGTGTTCTACATTTTTTATAGCATTTTGTGTTGCCAATAAGCATGTAATAGTATTTCACTGGCGTTTTAATTCATAGTTCCCTAACATATGATGTTGAGCATTTTTCATATGCCTATTTACCATCTGCATACTTTCTTTAGTGAGATGTCCGTTCAGATCTTTTCTCCATTTAAAAATTTTTTTTTATTCTTGAGTTTTAGTGTGTGCATTTTGGATACAAGTCCTTTGTCAGATATGTGCTTTGCAAATATTTTCTCCTAGTTTGTGGCTTGTTTTTAAAATTCTCATAACATGTCTTTTGCAGAGCAGAAATTTTTAATTTTAATGAAGTAAAATATCAATTTTTTTTCTTTAATGGATCATGCTTTTGATGTTGTATTTTATTTTGTTTTTGTTTTCGTTTATGGTGTTGTATTTTAAAAGTCATTGCCAAATCGAAGGTCATTTTAATTTTCTCCTTTGTTATCTTTTACAGTTTTATAGTTTTGTGTTTTACATTTAGGTTTATGATCCATTTGGAGTTGATTTTTGTGAAAGGCACAAGGTCTGAATCTAGATTTTTGGTTTTGGCCTATGGGTGTCCAGTTGTTCCAGCACAATTTGTTGACAAAACTGTCCTTTCTCCATTGTATTTTCTTTGCTCCTTTGTCAAAGGTTGGCTATATTTCAGTTGTCATTGCTGGCGTATGGAGGCAATTGACTTTTGCATATTATTAACCTTGTATCCTGTATCCGGCAACTTTCCTCTCCCAGATTCAAGTGATTCTTCTGGCTCAGCCTCCCAAGTAGCTGGGATTACAGCCATGTGCCGTGACGCCCAGCTAATTTTTGTATTTTCAGTAGAGATGGGGTTTCGCCATGTTGAGCAGGCTGGTCTCGAACATCTGTGATCCTAGCTACACATGAGGCTAAGGTAGGAGAATTGTTTGAACCTGAGAGTTTGCAGCAAGTCGAAATTGTGCCACTGCACTCCAACCTGGGTGACACAGCTAGATTGTCCAAAAAAAGAAAAACTGATTTAGAGTTAGGAGTGTCTTTAAGAGTGTCAGAGTAATGATGTCACCCTCAGATGGCAGTCACTGTACTATGTTCATTAAGAATCTAATAGAATATTAATATCTGCATGTTAGAGATGAGCTGAGACTCGGAGAAGTTAAGCAACTTGCTCAAAGACACCCAGCTAGTATGAGGTGGAAAGGTTGGTTATGGTCACCAGAACCTCATTATCTTTGCACCTGCATTTGATTTATAAATGCCTATAAGGATAGTTGTGCTTACACAAGCTGTTTAGCAAACTGATGGGGAAAGTTCCTACTGTACAGTAGATTCCGTTGCACCAGGCCATTTGTCAAGGCTATGAAGTCGCTGTTGAAAACAAACGGCTGGGCACAGTGGTTCACACCAGTAATCCAGCACTTTGGGAGGCCAAAGCAGGCGGATCACGAGGTCAGGAGAGCAAGACCATCTTGGCCAATGTGGTGAAACCCCTACTCAGGAAGCTGAGGCAGGAGAATCACTTGAACCTGGGAGGCAGAGGTTGCAGTGAACTGAGATCATGCCACTGCACTCAAGCCTAGCGACAGAGCGAGACTCCATCTCAAAACAAACAAACATGTAGGCAACGCAGAGGAACAGGACCTAACCTGTCTTGGCAGCTCTCACCCCCTGTTCCCTTCACCATTCAGCAAGGGCACATCCCCCTGGAGAACGGAACCAGAAGGCACTGTCTCAATGTTCAGGCTGAACAAACAGAGCCCATGCTTGGCCCTGGCACTGGGTGTTGGGACCTGATGCAGCTCTGACCTCAAGGATCAGTCCTTGAAAAGTAAATCCAAGAAAAGGAAGAACCCCTGCCTCGATCTCTACCTGAGGTTTAGGCAAGTGTGTGGGAGAGCCAGCAGGCAGAGAATAAGAGGCAGTCCTTCTCACCCAGTCAGGAGGCTTTCAAATTAGGTGGCCTTAGGACCTCAAGGGAGAAGAGATTTCTTTCCTCAACCATTGCAAGGTTTGTGGCTGCGACCTCAATAATGAAAGACAGATTAACAAGAGAAGAGCATCCAAATTTATTTAATGTTAAGTTTTAGGAGACACAAGAGCCTTCAGAAATGAAGATCCAAATATCCAGGGAAAGCTGTATTTTTGTAGAAGTATGTGCAGAAGTATGATTGGAGGACAAAAGGGTGTGATGTCATGGTAATCAACCAGGGGGAGGTACCAAGGCCTGTTTGTTCAGATTCCTCTTGGCCTCTGTGTGACTTTCCTTTCCCTGGGTATAGGGCAGGACACCTGTCACAGGAGGTCTTCAAGAGAGAGGGGAGGAAGAAGGCCAGAGAGTGGCCTTCCTGCTTCTGCAGTTTTCTCAGTTTCTTTCAGCTTAAAATACTCAGTATGCCAAGGTGCCATATTTGAGGTGTCATATTTGAGGTGTCCTGTCCTGAGCCCCGCAGAACTCACAAGCTCTCAGAAGCACCTTGGACTTTCAATTTCTCACAGTCAGGGACATTTTCCTGGGCCATTGGGACCAGACCTGTTCATTTCCTGCCCCTGCAGGTGACAGGTTGGGAAGGAGACCCTCGAGCAAGCAGGCTCCCAAAGCTCAGGGGACCCTGGGCAGGCGTGGAGCTCAGCGAAGCCAGAAGGAGCGCACAGGGGGCAGCCCAAGCCCGGGGTCTCCCCAGAGGAAGCAAGCAGAGCGCAGGAGACTCGGAGAGGAGCTGGGGAAACAGAAGCCAAGCAAGGCGGAGGGGACCTGCGAGGGGAGGAGGAAGCGGGACGAAAGATCTCCCCTCAAGGAGCAGACAGCACCCTCAAAGAAGGAAAAGGAGATTCCGAGGAAGGAGGAGAAGTTGAAGCGGCACAAGAAACCCAGGTGTGTTGTGGTTCGGATTCTGGGCGTTCACTCCACGTGCTCACGCTCCTTCGCGGCCCTTCTCCTTCCCTCATGAGGGACTGATGACCCTCCCTGGTGACAGCAGCCCCTGCCTTCACTCTGGCTTCCCTGTCTCCCCGCCCTTACCACTGCCCCGCTCTGCGGTGGGCTCTTCCTCCCAGAACCCAGATGAAGCTCGCAGGTCCTCGCAGGTGGAGACGCCACCGGCTCTCCACTCCAGCGTCTCATGGCACACTGCTGAAGTGGAGCGCAGGTGGTGAGGTGACGGGGTAGCAGGGTGGGACAAGATCCCGCGTCCCCTGAATTTCAGCGTGTGGCTAACCCCAGCTTTTGAAGAGGAGGAGCTGAGAAACATGAACAAAATTGGATTCAGGAACCTTCCGAGGGCTTAAAAGCACATCCCTTTCCGGATTCCGGATCTGGGCCAGTTTCCTGTTCTGGAAATGTGGCATTGGTCTAGGAGACCTTCACGGGTGCTACCAGCTCTGAAATTCTGGGGCTCGGAGGTTTTGTTTGTTTTGCCTCCTTTGTTCCGTTACCATTACCACCAACCAGCACATGTGGGTTAGTGGACAGGGCCAGCTTATGGCATCAGAAAGTGGGGATTTGGGGTTCATGTTTTTGCTATCAATTGTAATAGGTCTCTCTCTCTTTGCCTCCCTTTTTCAATCATTGAGAATAATAAATACCTTATTCGTTGCTCAGATTGTTTTAAGAATTCCCCATGATAGAAATAGGAAAGCTATTGCAACAGTTAGGAGTATTAGGATTATGGTGAAGAGCTGATGTTCCTTCCCGGTGGTTTGTAGCAAATCCTCTTTACCCAAAGCCTCAGTTGGGTGCTCCCCCTTCCTCTCCACCTTTACAGAGGAATCTGAGGCTCTTAAACAAGGCCACTGATTTTTTTCTGTTGCCATGCCAACCATCCTGGCTTGATTAGAGCCTTTGTCTGCTCTCTGGTTGCTGCCAGACATTAACTAAAGGGGAAAAGGGTGCATCGTGCCCTTGGACATTTAAAAATAATTTGAATGCACCGTTGATGGGCCCTGAGTGTCCTGAACTTTTGAGGGAGGCTGTACCATCCCAATAGGCCACAAAGATTCATTCGTGTCATTTTCAGCTGAGGGTAATGCTAGGGCATAGAAGGATGAAAACATTCAGTTCCCGTTGCCCAGATACCGACAGCGTAGCAGAGGAGATAAGACAGAGGCATTAGTAATCCTAAGACGAGGCAGAAAGCAATATACGTGCAAGACAGGACTTGACAGAGTGCTGAATTCTGGGGGTGCTGGGCCATCAGGGCTTCTCCATGGAGAAGGTAAACATCTCAACAAGGCTTTGAATAACAGGTGGAACATGAACAAGCAATAACCGAATGCCCAACCCCCAAACTGTGGGAACACCCTATGCAGAGACTGAAAAGCAGATATCACTGATAGGGTGTGCATGAATTATAGCCATATATATATCTGTGTTCTAGGCTTTTCAACCTTCGAGGGCATCCAAAAACTTCTCCTTTGCTCCCCAGGAGTTAATCAAAAGCTAAAACACTCTGAGGCTGCGGCAAACTTGTCTCTAAAGGGGTAGTTACCCAAGCCGACACCCTGATGTTACCATTTATGAAACGCCCTCAGGCTGAACAGCCATAACCCTTTCTTAGTCCTGTCCTTCACCTACACAATTGGCCGCTGTCTCACTCAGCTGAGAGTCACTGTTTTTATCACTGAAGGAGTCAGAATAGGCTGGACGCTATAAGGAGCACACAAAGTCACTTGGATTTTGTGACAATTGAGCACATAGAATTATCTGGGAGATGGGGAGGTCCCCAGCTGGAAATTCTCCATGGCCCTGCTGTCCAATGTGACAGCCACTAACCACATGTGGCCGCTGAGCACTTGAAATGTGGCCAGTGTGGAACTGAGGAACTGAACTTCTCATTTAATTGAAACTCAGTGAGTAACTGAATTGCTCATTTAATTGTAACTCAATGTCAATACCACTGAGTTGACATAGGAGTTGGTAAATTTACTTAATTTGGACTGATGTAGTTTTGAAACTGATTTGATTTGACTTTGAAGCCAGAAGAGTTCTTCTACAAAGAGACAAACGACTGATGTCAATGCTGATGCAAATATTAAAGGAAAAGAATATTTTGCTACTTGATTCAGTTGTTGAGAATCTTTTAAGTATGTCTAAAACAATTTGGGGATATCTACCTTTTTCACCTATAAACTTATGAAATATAAATACAGATCAAATATGTCTGATGAAAGTTTAACATCTGAATAGTATTGCAGTTTGAGTACAAAATGAATACCGACCTTTGAAGACAGTATTTTTTTTTTTTCTGTTTGAGATGGAGTCTCACTCTATTGCCCAGACTGGAGTGCAGTGGCGTGACCTCGGCTCACTGCAATCTCTGCCTCCCAGGTTCAAGCAATTCTCTGCCTCAGCCTCCTGAGTAGCTGGGATTACAGGCACCTGCCACAACACCCAGCTAATTTTTGTATTTTTAGTAGAGACGGGGTTTCACCATCTTGGCCAGACTGGTCTTGAATTACTCACCTCATGATCCATCCACCTAAGCCTCCCAAAGTGCTGGGATTACAGGCGTGAGCCACCGCATCCAGCCTGAAGATGATATTTTTTAAAAGACTGAAGTGTCTCTAATAATTGTATATTGATTGCAAGGTAAATTACAGTTTTTAATATATTTGATTAAATAAACTGTATTATTAAAATTGCTTTAATCCATGCTTTTTACCACTTCAAGGTGGCTACTAGAAAAATTTGCATTACACTAAGTGGCTTGTGTCCTGTTTCTGTTGGGGAGCACCGAACTGGAGTATGGTTTGTGGGAGGACGCAGAGAAATGAAGAATGGGGAGGCAGCTCTCCGGGGCCCTGGGCTACAGGCTAGAGTTTTGGCCTTGGCTGCCCGGCGATGGGAATCACTGAGGGCTTCTGAGCAGAGGGCAGGAGTGCCACCTTGCCCGTGGGCTCCGCCTCACTCCACAGCACCTGAGGACACCACCTCCTTTCAAACTCCCGTCCGCCTCCGCCCTGGCTCTGCCTCCAGATCATCCTCGTTGGCCTCCAGTGGCTCTGGTGGGGAGTCCCTGTCTGAGGAAGAACTGGCCCGGATCCTGGAGCAGGTGGAAGAAAAAAAGAAGCTCATTGCCACCATGCGGAGCAAGCCCTGGCCCATGGCGAAGAAGCTGACAGAGCTCAGGTGAGCAGATTGCGGGCCGACCACGGCCTCCTGATATCTACAGGGCTCAGCTCCTTCTGATGGATGGGCACCCCTCCCTCCACACTTCCCCAAAGGGGCTTGATGGGAAGGGGGATGCCCGAGAGAGGAGCATAGCACTCAGGGAACCTCATGAGAGCCAGGGCAGCCCTGCTGTTCGCCAGCACCACAGGGCCTGAACGGGGAGCCAGGGAAGACTCAGAGGACTCCCGGCCTGTGCCTACGTCTTCCCCTGCCTGGCTGACCCTTTTATTCCATGCCCCACCTCATCTGGTGGCTTCTGTGCTTCTCTCACAATCCAACACAGATGTTCCTTTCCCAGAAGCTCTCTAGACCTCCTCCTCCTCAAGAGCAGCTCTCTTTCATGTTCCTGCAGCACCCAGCGTCTCTCCGTGTGTACACACTCTCTCGGGTGATTTGCAGAGTGAGATGGAGAGGGTCTCTCTGAGCCACTGTCACATCCCGCTGCCTGGTGCAAGCCCCCAGGCATCATGAATATCACTCTGTGAATGGTGACAGGCCTCCTGCCCATGCCACTCAACTTCTGTTTTCTACTCAGCCACTTTTCTGGTTTCCATGCAAAAGGCTGATGCATGGAGCATTTGATGATTCTGGAGTCTGCTGCAGTTTTGAAATAACAGCAGTAGGCTGGGCATGGTGGCTCACACCTGTAATCCCAGCACTTTAGGAGGCCAAGGTGAGTGGATCACTTGAGGTCAGGAGTTTGAGACCAGCCTGGCCAACATGGTGAAACCCTGTCTCAACTAAATATACAAAAATTAGCCAAGTGTGGTGGCAGGCACCTGTAGTTCCAGCTACTTGGGAGGCTGAGGCAGGAGAATTGCTTGAACCCAGGAGGCAGAGGTTGCAGTGAGCCAAGGTCATGCCAGTGGACTCCAGCCTGGGTGACAGAGTGAGACCCCTGTCTCAAAAGGAAGGAAGGAAAGAGAGAAGGAAGGAAGGGAGGGAGGGAGGGATGGAGGGAGGGAGGCAGTCGTTATATTACATAATTTTGGGGTTTCTACTAAAAAGTTCCCGTCCAACATGACCATTCTCCCCAAGGACCCTCTTTTTTTTTGCCACAGCGTTGGGGTGACACTCACTTCCTCCCTTTCTTCTGTAGGAAGCCCATGCTCCCTGGCTCCTCTCATACCTGAGCGTCCTCATTGCTCAAGTCAAATTCCTCACCCTTTATTAAACAGAGCAGTTTCCAGCCATGTTCTGGCATTATTTACCCCAAGAGGCATATCAAGGATCTAGCCACACTAACACTATGCAGCCCCTGAGAAGGATTCTGGAAAGCAGAGCTTACCCCACAGGCTGCAAATTGTCATCTCCTATGGAGCTGCGAGAAGAAACACCTCCTGGGAGCGCCTCCAGGCCTATTCTTTAGGCCAGTGCTGCTGACCACCAGAACTTTCTGCAGTGATGGAAATCATTCTAAATTTGCACTAACACATAGCCACTACCATGTGTGGTTACTGAATACTTAAAACAGAGTTAGTGCAACTGAACCTGATTTTTTTGTTTTAACTTTTATTCAAACTTAAATTTCTGTACAGCATAGTGACGATAATAACAATGTATTAGATACCTGAAAATTGCTAAGAATAGATTATAAGTATTCTTACCACACACAAAAAAAAGTCCATGCATATATTAATCAGCTTAACAATTCAAAATGTATACATATGTCAAAACATCATACATAAATACACCATAAATATATACAATATTTTTTTTTGAGATGGAGTCTTGCTTTGTCACCCAGGCTGGAGTCCAGGGGCACGATCTCAGCTCACTACGACCTCCGCCGCCTGGGTTCAAGCAGCTCTCTGCCTCAGCCTCATGAGTAGCTGGCATTACAGGTGCCCACCACCACGACCAGCTAATTTTTTTATTTTTAGTAGAGACAAGGTTTCACCATCTTGGCCAGGCTGGTGTTGAACTCCCGACCTCATGATCCACCTGCCTCAGCCTCTCAAAGTGCTGGGATTACAGGCATGAGCCACCATGCCTGGCCACAATTTTTTTTTAAGAGACAGAGTCTTGCTCTGTCGCCCACGCTGGAGTGCAGTCTGCCATGATGGCTCCCCGTGGCCTTGAATTCCTGGCTCAAGTGACCCTCCTTTCCAGTAGTCGGGAATGCAGGCATATGCCATCACACCTGACTGATTTTTCAATTTTTTGTGGAGACAGGGTCTTGCTATGCTGCCCAGGCTGATCTTGAACTCCTATACTCAAGTGATCCTCCCACCTCAGCTTCCCCAAGTATTGGGATTATAGGCATGAGCCACCGCACCTGGCCCATTTGTCAATTAAATAATGAAATAACAGTAGGCCAGGTGCGGTGGCTCATGCCTTTAATCCCAGCACTTTGGGAGGCCAAGGTGGGTGCATCACATGAGGTTGGGAGTTCGAGACCAGCCTGACCAACATGGAGAAATCCCATCTCTAGTAAAAAATGGAAAATTAGCCAGGCATGGTAATGGATGCCTGTAATCCCAGCTACTCAGGAGGCTGAGATGGAAGAATTGCTTCAACCCAGGCGACAGAGGCTGTAGTGAGCCTAGATTGCGCCATTGCACTCCAGCCTGGGCAACAGAGTAAAACTTTGTCTCAAAAAAAAAAAACAAGTAATTTTAAAAATTTAAATAGTCCTGGCCCGGCACGGTGGCTTACACTTGTAATCCCAGCACTTTGGGAGGCCAAGGTGAGTGGGTCACTAGGTCAAGAAATCGAGAGCTTCCTGGCCAATATGGTGAAACCCCGTCTCTACTAGAATACAAAAATTAGCTGGGCATGGTGGCGCGCGCCTGTAGTCCCAGCTACATGGGAGGCTGAGGCAGGAGAATTGCTTGAACCAGGGAGGTGGAGGTTGCAGTGAGCCGAGATTGCACCACTGCACTCCAGCCTGGTGCCTGGCGACAGAGCAAGACTCTGTCTCAAAAAAAAAAAAATTTTTTTTATAGTTCCATGTCTTGGGTGGTGGTAGTGTGGAAGCTAGGCTCAGCTCTGGGCTGTCTTCCCTCGCAGCCTTCTCTTTTTAAATCCTTTCTCCCTGTTCCCCCCAAGCTAGTCTCCTTCTGCCAGCAGGACAGAACAGCCACCTGTCACTCTAACAGAACCTCACTCCCACTCAGGTGTCACCAGAACACATCTTTTATTAACAGTGGAAAAAGTGCAACCCTGATGACTATGGAAATGAGATCTCCAGCTGGCTGGAAGTCTCAGGGACCATGGCAATCCTTGAGGGCCCTTCAGCTGCCAGAGGAGAAATCTGACATCTCCTCCCTGCCTCTGAGGGGCAGAGTTCCTGGGGCTGGCAGGGTGGGCAGAGGCTGAGGCCTGAGAAGCCGAGGAGACCCATGCCTCTCTCACTGGAGTGGGTCTCCCCAGCAAACAGTGGGTCCCCTCCCCCTGGGCCTCCCTCCTTGCCTCTTCCTAGCACCTTCCCTCCCACAAGGCTCCTTATCCCAGACTCAGGTTTAAGGCTCTCCAGCTTCTGAGTCTCCACCCAAGCTGGTGCCTCTGCCACATGTATTTGAGCCTTCATAGTTCAGATTTCCTTTGGTTAGGTGATAACTGAATTCCTGCTCTTTTTTTTTTTTTCTAAGCAGGGAGGCCCAGGAATTTGTGGAGAAGTATGAAGGTGCCTTGGGAAAGGGGAAAGGCAAGCGACTATATGCCTGCAAGACGCTGATGGCCAAGGTGTGTGGGGTAGAGGTAGCAAATCTGTGGGGAGGACTTGCTCAGTTTTGGAATCTGGGGACCAACTCAGGCACCTGCCCAGTTTCACCGTTTGTGTCCAGCTGCCCCCGGAATCCTGGGTGTGAAGGCCACCTGACCATTCTGATCCACCTACAAATGGAAAGCAATCATACATAGCCTGCCAATTTCTCCAGTTGTACTGTGAGGGCTTCAACACATTTGAGACTTGTTTTCTCTCCATCGAATACACTTAGAGAACTAACGATGTTAAAACCACTGCGATTTTATTTTCCAAACCCCAAATCAGGATAGGGTGAGTTGGTGGAGACCCAGAAGGGCTGTGGTGTGATCAGGGTCACATGGATGACAAACAGCTATGTCCCCAGAGGGGTGGGGAGGCAGCTCTGTTTTGTTGAGTTGTATCATAATCTGGGCATCTGCTTGAAGTGAGGGTAGTGTTTCACGTTGGATATTTAATGTGAGACTTACGGAAGTTTCCTTCCTTTGCCCACTGATTTGAAAAACTACCATCCTCCTTCACTTACTTCTTGTACGGAGCCTGTTTCGGGGCTTTTGTGCTGAGCAGTCATTTGACATCACTATCTCAACTCTAAATTCTGATGCCTGGTAGTTCTAGGTTCCCCTTTTTACTTTTGATTTTTTGTTTGTTTGTTTTTAGAGACAGAGTCTCACTTTTCCACTAAGGCTGGAGCACAGTGTCACCAATCCAGCCTTAGTGGCAGCCTTGAACTACTTGGCTCAAGAGATCCTGCAGCCTCAGCCTCAGGCTCTGAGGAGCTAGGACTACAGGGGCACCCCACTACACCCTGCTACACCTTTGTTTTTTTAAAAAAACTTGCTTGGCTGTCTAGTCTATGTTTCTACATGCATTAAAAAAATCAGTTTGCCAAGTTCCACTATAGTGTATTGACATTTTGGTTGGAATTTCTTTTAATCCTGTCTTTAATTTGGAACTTCCTTATGTATACAATAGTCTTCACATCCAGAATATCATATATTTCTCAAGCCTATATTATATTCTTAAGCAAAGTTTGTCATTTTCTCCCTATAGATCTTTTCCACGTTTTATTTCTACATAGTTAATAGCCTAGTTGCTTTTGCAAATGCGATCATTTTTCAACTATTTAATAACTAGTTATTGGTAGTATGTAAGAAAGCTACAAATTCCTGTGCTCATTTTTTATCTGGTTCTCTTATGGTACTCTCTTATTAATTCTAACCTTTTTCATCTGATTATGTACATAAAGATGTTTTTGTCGGGTTCTCCTAAATGCCTATCCTAAAATGTGGGCTAGCAATCCTAGAACAGTATCAGTTGATAATTGTGATCATAGCTCTCCTTGTCTTTGCATCACTTTAGTGAGAATGACTCTAATGACTTTCACATTAAGTTGATGGGAGTTGTTGGCTTGAAATAGATTTTCTTTGTAACCATAAAAACTTATTATCAGCCAGGCACCATGGCTTATGCCTATAATCCCAGCACTTTGGGAGGCTGAGGCAGGTAGATCACAAGTCAGGAGTTCAAGACCAGCTTGGCCACCATGGTGAAACCCTGTCTCTACTAAAAATGCAAAAATTAGCCAGGCATGGTGGCACGCACCTGTAGTCCCAGTTATTCAGGAGGCTGGGGCAGGAGAATCACTTGAACCCAGGAACTGGAGGTTGCAGTGAGCCGAGATCGTGCCACTGCACTCTAGCCTAGGTGACAAAGCGAGACTCAGTCTCAAAAAAAAAATTATTGTCTAATTACTGTTTAGTAAGACTTTCATTTCATTGAAAATAATTAGGTTTTATTAAACACCTTTTCCTTTATGTTATTACACTTTTAAAAAAATTTCTGGGATACCCTCAGTCATGGTACATTACTTTTAACTCCACAGACACATTTGATTTTCCAATATTTTATTTATGATTTTTACATACATTTTCATAAGATTGAATTTGTGTGTGTTTGTACACAAGTGTATGCATGTGTAGCATCTTGGAAGATTTTAACATTAGGGTTGCACTTGCTTTATAATTTTAAATGAATAGCATTAGCTCCTCTTTATGTTGTCAATCAGTTTTTGGAGCCTTATAATATACTTTTTGTTAATTTTAAAGATGATATCCTTACAGTGGTAGAGATCAGAGCCATTTTTATAGAATACCTTGAATTTTTTTTCAAGTATTCACTTTGTTGGTGTACTTAAGTTTTAACTTTTTCTTGGGACTATTTTGATAATTCATATTCTTCCTGAAACTTGATCATTTCATTAACTTTTTGTTATATGTTAACAGAAAGTCACATATGGTAGCCCAATAATTTTTGTAATTACTTTTCATATTTGTTGGGTTTGGTTTGAATCTTTTTTTTTTTTTTTTTTTTTTTTTTTTTTTTTTTTTGCTCTGTTACTCAGGCTGGAGTGCGATGGCATGATCTCAGCTCACTGCAACCTCTGCCTCCTGGGTTCAAGTGATTCTCCTGTCTCAGCTTCCCGAGTAGCTGAGATTACAGGCATGCACTACCACGCCCGGCTAATTTTTGTATTTTTAGTAAAGATGGGGTTTCATCATGTTGGCCAGGCTGGTCTCAAACTCCTGACCTCGGGTGATCCTCCCGCCTCAGCCTCTCAAAGATACTGGGATTACAGGCATAAGCCACTGTGCCCAGCCTGAATCTTTCTTATTTCTAATATTATTTTTCTCCTTTTTCAGTTATGCTTGCCAGACAACTCTCTATGGGTCATTTTATTAATTTTGTTTAGAGACTATCTACCACTTACCAACTGCACACTCACATCTTATTTTTTTCCAACGAAGAATGTGTTCTTCAAGTATATTTTTTTCTAGATTTTTACTCTGACAAACAATGCTTCAACAAACACCTTTTATACATTTATCTTGGATCCATGTGTTTTTTAAATCACAACAGGACAGCCACTCAAATAGTACTGCTAGTTCAAAAGTGTGAATATTTTAAATTTTACTACACATTTTTCAAACTATTTCTCCCAACCTGTAGCAAATCATACTCAAGGGAACAAAGAGAATGACTTATCCTAGTTATGAATGTTATTGTCCATTTTACTTTGTGCTAATCTAATGGGTAAAAAACAGGTTATTATTCTTCCTTTAATTTGTATTCACTGTTTTTTTTATTGTAATAAGAACACTTGAGATTTACCTTTCTAAGTACACAATACCGTATTGTTAAGCACAAACATCATGTTGTACAGCAGATCTCTGGACAAGTACATCTCTGATAAATGATTCTGTTCAGCCATGTTTCTGTTCACATAGTTCTAGCTTCCCGCTTAGGAAAGGATAGCTGCCTGCTTCCTGCCCTCCATCCTCCATATTTACTTTTCCACATAATTTTTAGCTCTTTGCTTCTTTCTCTTTGCAATCTCAGAAATTTATCGGGTCTATTCTCAATATCATTGGATCCATTTTCCTCTGTGTCAATTATAGGCTTTATTTTGTCTAATGTTTCTTTTCATTCAATTACTAACCTCTTAGCTTCCTTGTAATCCTTCCCTATCTCATCTGTATTCTTTTTAAATTGGTATCCTTTACTTTAGAAGCCATATTTCTTGCATCCTATTAAGAATACTGAACTGCTTTCTAGATGTTATGTATGTATCTTGGAGGAAATGTTTTCCACAAATATCAAAGAATGGCGTTCCTTTTTCCCTGTTCTGCAATAATATTTTCCAGGCGTCACTTGTTATTTTCATGTTAGCTACCCAGATCCTGATTTTTTTGACAGGACATGTAACTTGCCTGTGTCTTGCTCCGCCATGACTTGAAACTTTTTTCCTATATATAGCTGGAGAGCAAGACAGCATGACAATGAATAACCCATTCTAGGACCAGCAACGACCACCACACACAGCCCTGAGAAAGGCACTTGGAATCTTCTGCCCATGCCCCAGCCCAGTTTTCTGACTCTGTCAACCAATGAAGGATAAGAGAATCAGTACAGGAGCATCTCCCAGGCGTCTCTCTCCCTCTGCTCCAGATCCGGGGCCTCACTTTTCAGTCCAAGATACCCACAGCCCTGAGGAGCTATCAGGTGGTTGCCAAGGAACCGACCAGCAAGCTGTGCCCCCAGGGGCCTCACTTGGCAATGTTCATTACCCATGCTGGTCCTCAGCCTTGCAAGCCTCTATTTTATACTGATTTTATCAGCACCCTGACAAAGGATCCATCTCTCAGGAGAGAACTGGCATTAATAAAGCTTATGAGGCTGCTACATGAAACCAGATGCTGGATTATTAACTTACAAGAAGAAATAACTGATGCAAGATGGAAAATCAGAAGTCCACAGCAGTCATGCCTTTTATTTTTGATAGCTCAGTTATATGGGAAGCTAAACCATCATCCCGATTCCTATCTATGAATTTGCAATGAAAGTCACTGCCATAGAAACCAAAATACTCAAGGCAAATGCTTTCTTTATAGGCAGACCTACATAGGACGCCAAATAGTCAAAGAGTATTTTGGGGTTTGGGATTTTTTTTTTTTTTTTTTTGAAACAGAGTCTCGCTCTGTTGCCCAGGCTGGATGGAGTGCAGTGACGCAATCTTGGCTCACTGCAACCTCCACCTCCTGGAGCAAGTGATTCCCCTGCCACAGCCTCCTGAGTAGCTGGGATTACAGGCACCTGCCACCACACCCAGCTAACTATTGTATTCTTAGTAGAGACAGGGTTTCACCATGTTGGCCAGACTGGTCTCTAACTCCTGCCCTCAGGTGATCCATCCACCTCCGCCTCCCAAAGTGCTGCGATTACAGGTGTGAGCCACTGCCCCCAGCCTGTATTTATTTTTAGTAGAGACAGGGTTTCACTATGTTGGCCAGGTTGGTTTCGAACTCATGATCTCATGTGATCCACCCGCCTCAGCCTCCCAAAAGTGCTGGGATTACAGGCATGAGGCACCATGCCCATGGTGGCCCAAAGAGTATTTTTGAGCACAGAATCAGAGCTAAGGAGGGTGGATGAAGCAAAAAGACTGGGCTGCCCAGTGTCTGTCATCTTCCAATCCCCATATTCTCCGTATCTTTGCCGCTGTTATCAACCAGTCTTTACTCATGGGCCTCTCTTCTCTTTTGCATCTGTGACCATTTCCCTCTTCTGACAGCTGGTTCCCTTCTTTATACAATCATTCAATCAGGAGATGGTCAAAACCATATCTGGAAAACCAGGTCTGGAAGCCTGTCTGATTCCTTCACAAAATTTTTCCCTTTTTAATGGACGCGGTGCCTCACGCCTGAAATCCCAACACTTTGGGATGCTGAAGGCAGGAGGATCACTTGAGCCCAGGAGTTTGAGACCAGCCTGGGCCACATGGTAAGACCCTGTCTCTACCAAAAAAAAAAAAAAAAATTAGCCGGATGTGGTGGCTGCTTAGGAGGCTGAGGCAGGAAGATCACCTGAGCCCAGGAGGTCAAGGCTGCAGTGAGCCGTGTTTGTGCCACTGCACTCATGCCCTGGGCAACAGAGTGAGGCCTTGTCTGAAAACAGAAATATTTCCCTTTACTCCTTTAGTGACCTTAGTTTTTGCCCCTTCTTTTCGCAGGTATTGACTTTAGTGACTTTACAGGGGAAAATCTCATTTCCTTCATGAACAAGTTCTGAGGAGACCTTTTAATAATAGGAACTGGGCCAGACGCAGTGGCTCATGCCTGTAATACCAACACTTTGGGAGGTCAAGGCAGGTAGATCACTTAAGGTCAGAAGTTCGAGACCAGCCTGGCCAACATGGGGAAACCCCGTCTCTACTGAAAATATAAAATTTGGGCCAGATGTGGTAGCTCATGCCTGTAATCCAGCACTGTGGGAGGCCGAGGTGGTTGGATCACCTGATGTCAGCAGTTCAAGGCCAGCCTGGCCAACATGGTGAAACCCCATCTCTACTAAAAATACAAAAATTAGCCAGGCGTGATAGCTGGATCACTCTTGTAGTCTCAGCTACTCAGGAGGCTGAGGCAGGAGAATCGCTTGAACCCCGGAGGCAGAGGTTGCGGTAGCCGAGATTGCACTACTGCACTCCAGCTTGAGAGGCCGAGTGAGACTCCATCTCAAAATAACAATTATAATGGCAACTGATCTTAGGATCTGCTCCCTACTACCTCTTATCCTTTTTATGAGTATTTCTACCTCAGCTTTCTATGAGTATTTGTTTCATTCCAAATCGATTTGTTTCCAGAGTGTGTGGTTGGTGGAGCGCAGCCCCTCCGAGAGTTGACAAAACAGCCAGCCATAGAAAGACGGCTGATCAGGTTTCTGTTTGGTACAAAGTCTGGGTGTCGGAGTTGGGAACGGACCACAGGAGGGGGCAACATGCCTTTCTGACTCCTTTCAGAAAGGCGAGGCTGTTGTTTCCCCAGGAGAAGAATGGGCCACCATGGGTTGACATCTCCTTATCAGTTGCACCACCCTTGCAATTTTGTGGCAATTCCTATCAGACAGAGGAACTTGGCTGTCTGCCAGACGTGGGTCTGAGAGTTGCCAGATTCCCTTTTTCCTTTGAACTTTTAAGATGAAGAAAGTCTTATCAGAGGTTGCTAATTCAATCGGACCCTCCAACACAGAAATCGTCCAGAGAATTTCTCACTTTATCTATACACTGTCCAAAGCGGAAATTTTATCAGCACAGTAAGGGGTGGCCCTGGCTGTTTCTCTCTCCACACCTGACATTGGGGAAGTGAAGGTTTGAACACCTGCCTCTGGCAGACTGGGCTCAAGGACAGCAGGAGCTGGGGACTACAAGACAGCAGCCTCACCCGAACTGACTCATGCTGACCTGCCAGCCTCCTCCTGCCCCTCATCATGCTCCTTTGTGCCCAGCTCAACATGTTAATGAACTGAGAGTTTTACCTCTTTAATTTCAGAAATGGGTCAAATTTAAGAGAGACTTTGATAATTTCAAGACTCAGTGTATCCCCTGGGAAATGAAGATCAAGGACATTGAAAGTGAGTATGCTGGTGTCACTGATTTTTTAATTGGTTTCCTAAAGAATTTCCCAAGAGCTTGAATTGTTTCCTTGGCCCTCTAAATAGATTAGTTCATTGGTTCTGCTGTATTAGGAAAAAAGAATGGGTTTTCAACTAGTCAAACCAAGGTTTATTTTTCTTTTTCTTTTTTATTTTTTGAGACAGAGTCTTGCTCTGTTGCCCAGGTTGGAGTGCAATGGCATGATCTCAGCTCTCTGCAGCCTCTACCTCCCAGGTTCAAGTGATTCTCCTGCCTCAGCCTCCTGAGTAGCTGGGATTATAGGTATTCACCACCACACCTGGCTTTTTTTTTTTCTTTTTTTTTGTGTGTGTGTGTGCATGTGTGTATTTTTAGTAGAGAAGGGGTTTCACTATGTTGACCAGGCTGGTCTCGAACTCCTGACCTCAAGTGATGCGTCCACTTTGGCCTCCCAAAATGCTAGAATTACAGGCATGAGCCACCACACCCAGCCCTGACGAAGATTTAAGTTCTGCTTCTTCACTTTTTGACTATAAGAGCTTAGGCAGGTTAGTTAACCCAAAGAGCCTCAGGTTATTTATCTAGAAAAAGAAAGGGAGACAGATGTCATTCAACAGACTCATGACAAAATTGAATCCATCACACACATAAAGTGCTCAGTAGTGTATATTTCTTCCCTTCTGCAGCACTCACACCCACCATCTTTTCTCTCTCTAGGTCACTTTGGTTCTTCTGTGGCATCATATTTCATCTTTCTCCGATGGATGTATGGCGTTAACCTCGTTCTTTTTGGCTTAATATTTGGTTTAGTCATAATTCCAGAGGTAAGAAAACAACTTCCTAAATCTTTGGATAGAGTTGAGACTTATGACTACCATCATCAATTATCAACCAATACTTCCTGTTTTACAAAGAATCAGTCATTCATTTAAAATGCTGTTAGGTTGGTGCAAAAGTGATTGTGGATTTTACCATTAAAAGTAATTTATAAATTACTGCCATTAAAAGTAAATTTATGAAATTAAAAGTAATGGCAAAAATCACAATTACTTTTGCACCAACCTAATGTACTCACATCAATTGCCCAGATGGTTTAGTACAAAGAATGGAACCAAAATACTTCTGTTACTTAATAGGAGAATCTTATATTTTTCTACTTCTCATTGTACCTTAAGATCAGTGGAGAATTAATGCTTCCATGAGCTTTTTTTTACCCTAAAAATTAATACATCTATGAGGAAGAAAATACCAAATGCAGACATATTGTTCCTCTGAACGCTGTAGAAGTAAACCTGCTTGTGTACCCAGCACCAGCACTAAGTATTTCAGTGAGGACTGTAGCAACTGTAGTAGTTGCTGTGCTCAGTGCTTAGTGAGCCACAGGCTCCTTGGAAAAGACCCCAGGCCATCATTCTGGGGACCTGGGATCCAATTCACAATGAACTTATTGTGTGACTTTGCACTAATTGCTTATTACCCCTTTTTTGTTTCTCAATTAATCATCTGTAGATAAGGATCTATTTATATCCATAACAAGATTATATCTGGGGCCAGGTGCAGTTGCTTATGCCTGTAATCCCAACATTTTGGGAAGCTGAGGCGGGAGAATTACTTCTCCCGCCTCAGCCTCCCAAGTAGCTGGGATCACAGGCACCCACCACACCTGGCTAATTTTTGCATTTTTAGTAAAGATGGGGTTTCACCATGTTGGCCAAGCTGTCAACGGTGGTCTTGAACTCCTGACCTCAAGGGATCTGCCCACCTTGGCCTCCCAAGGTGTTGGGATTATAGCCGTGAGCCACCGCACCCTGTCCTCTAAGGTCTTTAAGTAAGCTGTGCTCTAGGTTTACATAGCAAGCATTTAGTCTGTAAACCTCATATGATACTTCCCTCTAAAAAATAACTATTAAGTTATTTTAGACATATGAAAAGATATAATGAATGAGCCTACTTGCTCATCAGTATGCCTAAAAAATAAAATATTACATGTACACTGAAGTCCTCTAATTAACTTTCCCCAATTGTATTGCCTACATAACACTCACTACCCTGAACTTTCCATTTCAACTTACATTTTAAAATTTATCGACTTAAATGCAGTCATTTCTTATTCTCTAAAATCACAGTGTATCTAAAGGTGTATCCCCTTTTGTATTACAGCATAATTTTTTGTCTCATTGACAGCAAAAGTTTTTCTTTTTTAGTTATTTTGTTCAAGAAAAAACTTTTGGCTTTGCTGATTCTCTCTGATATATATATTTTTAAATTCAATCTTGTAGGGGCACAATTTAAATAAAGTAAAATTTACTCTTTTTAGGTATACAGTTCAATGACTTTTGACAAATGTATAATCAGGTAACCACCCCACAACTAAAATATAGAACATTTTCATCACCCCTAAATTTCTCTAGTACCCTCTTTGCAAGCAATCTCCTCTCCCAGCTCCCACCCCTTGACAACCAATGATTGATTTCTGATTTCTGTTCCTAAAGTTTTACCCTTTTCGGAATATCATATAAATAGAAACATATAGTATATAGTTTTTTTTGTGTCTAACCTCTTTCAGTTGGTACAATGTCTTTGAAATTTATTCATGTAGTTTTATCAATAATTTGTTCCTTTATTGCTGGAATGGAATGAAAATTACAATGGAATTGTAATATCCCATCGTCTGGGTATATCATAGTTTGTTATCCATTCACCAGTTCATGGACTCAGTTGTTTCTGTTGGGAAGCTATTATGAACAACTCTACTATAAATATTCACATTCAAGTCTTTTTCTTATATATCCTTATTTTTATATTACTAATTTCTACTCATATATGTATCATTTATTTCTTTCTAATTTCTTGGGGTTTATATTTATTATTTATTACTGTGTAACAAGTTACTCCCTAATTTTTTGCTGAATATAACAACTATTTATCTTATGATTTCTGTGGGTCGGGAATCCAGAAGGTGTTCTGGCTTGGGGTCTCCCACAGGCTACAATCTAGGTTTTGTCCAAGGCTACAGTTATCTTGAGGCTGAACTGGAGAAGATTCACTTCCAAGCTCACTCACATGGCTATTGGCAGATCTCAGAAGATACGATTTCAAGCTTACTCACATGGCTTCTGGCAGGCCTCAGAAGATCTGCTTCCAACCTTACTCATGTGGCTGTTCCCAGGGCTCAGGTACTCAGTGGCTATTGGCCAGAGACATCAGTTTCTTGCTACATAAATTCTTTCACAGGCATGCTCATAAGATAGCAGCTTTCTTCTCCCAGAGGAGAGAATCCAAGAAGGAAATACAGCAAGAAGAAGCTTCCCACATAGAAGCCACTATTTTTTAGAACCTAATCTCAAAAATGACATTCCATCTCTTCTGCCGTATTTTATTCCTTAGTAGTGAGTCACTAACTCATCAAGCCCACGCTCAATGGGAGGGTATTATTGTGCACAATAATAAATACCAGAGGCAGGGAATCATGTGAGCCTTCTCACAGGCTGCCTACCACATTCAGCCCTCTGGTCCTCAGTGATTTGCATCCCTTCCACATGCAAAATACACTCACCCCTCCTAAAGGCCCCTAAAAATCTCATTCTGGTACAGCATCAGCCCAGATTCCAAACTCTCATTCTCTAAATCAGTTCAGGTGCAGATGAGGCTCCATGGGAGTAGCTCTTTAAATACAACTCCTGAGTCCAGTTCTCTTTACCATGAGATTGAAGAGACATGTTATCTGCACCAACACAACAAATATAAAATGGTAGGACAGGCATAAGATAAATGCTATAGACATGCCTGTGTTCAAACAGGAGAAAAATGGGAGGCACAAGGGAATTATTGACCCATGGCAAGTCTATAACAGTATTAGGCCTTTCTTGTGTTGCTGTGAAGAAATACCTGAGGCTGTGTAATTTATAAAGAAAAGAGGTTTAATTGGCTCGTGGTTCTGCAGGCTGTATGGAAAGCATAGTGCCAGCATCTGCTTCTGGTGAGGGCCTCAGGAAGCTTACAATCACGGTGGAAGGCAAAGGGGAGCCAGCACGTTGCTTGGGGAGAGCAGGAGCAAGAGAGCTATTGGGGGAGGTCCTAGACTTTTAAACAACCATATCTCTCATGAACTAACTGAGTGAGAACTCACTTATCACCAAAGGGATGGTGCTAAGCCATTTATGAGGAATCTGCCCTTGTCATCCAATATGTCCCACCAGGCACCACCTCCAACATTGGGAATCACATTTCAACATGAGATTTGGAAGGGACAAACATCCAAATGACATCAATAACACAACACTCATTTATAAATTTTCCCTCAATACTATTTTAGCCACATTCCATATACTTTGATATACATTGCCATTGTTTATTTTTAGGTAATTTCTAATTTCGTTGTAATCCACAAGATATTTATGAATATATTTTCAAAACTTTAATATATAGAAAGATTGGCAGCGTTTCTTTTTTTTACTGGTTTGTAGTATAATTTTATAGTGATCATAGTGTATATTTAGTATGAAACTGATACTTTTCATCACTTGGGACTTTATTTGCTTAGATATGGTTAATTTTCCTAAATGTTTATCTTTTTTACATGGTTCAAATATATTACTTATATTCTATAAATTAACCTTATTAATTTTAAAGCAGCATAATAATTGCTGAGTGAGATCAAGCAAATCTCCTGCTATTGTCTTTTTCTCACTGCAATTATTATTTTTTGTTTTATATATGTTGATGCTATGTTATTGGGTACATACAAATTTAAGATTGTTGTGTGGTGAATTATATTGATTTATTTTCAAATGTTAAACCAGATTGCATTCCTGGAATAAACCCAACTAGGTCATTATGTATTATCTTTTTCATATATCACCTGATTTTGATTTGTGTGTATTTAACTAGAACTTTTGCATCCATTTTTGAAAGATTGGACTGTACATATCCTTCTTACAGTATTCTTAAAATGTTTGGGGATCAATATGAGATCTCATAAAGTGATTTAGAAATATTTCCTTTTTTTATTGACTTGAAGAATTGTGTAAATTTTCCTATGGTAGCCTTTTGTGAATTTTTAAAAATTTATTTATTTTAATTGACAAATATAAATTGGACATATTATTTATGGTACACAAAACGCTGTCTTGGAATGTGTATACATTGTGAAATGGCTATATCAAGCTAATTAACATATGTATCACCTCATATACCTGTACTTATCAATTGTTTTTGGTGAGAACACTTAAAATCTACTCTCACAGCAATTTCCCAGTATACAATACGTTATTATTAACCATAATCATCATGTTGTACAATACATCTCTTGAATTTATACCTCCTAACTGAAATTTGTGTGTCCTTTGACTAACATTTCCCAATCTCCCCAATTCCCCAAGTGAAGTTTTTGTTGTCATGGTTGATTTGTTGCTTTTTGTATCTGTGGTAGGCAGAAGTCTAAGAATGACCCTAAATGACCCTCAACCTTGTATAATTTCCTCCCTTTTGAGTATGGACAGAACCTGGGAATGAAATATCACTCTGAGGTTATTTGAGTGAGCCTAATTTAATCACATAAGCTCTTCAAAAGCTGAGTTTTCTCTGGCTGGTTGCAGAAGGAATCACAGATATTCAAAACATGAGAAGGACTGAACACACCACTGCTGGCTTAAAGATGGAGGGAACCAAGTAGTGGGGAATGGGGGGCCCTCGAGAGGCTGAGTGTGGCAACCACATGCCACCCAGCAAGGAAACAGGGACCTCAGTCCTACAAGCACAAGGAAATGAATTCTGCCAACAATCAGTGAGCTTGGAAGAGAACTCCAGACCTCAGATGAAACCCTTAGCCCCTGCTGACTCCTTGATTTCAAACTGGTGAGACACTGAGCAGAGAATCCAGCTACACCATGCTGAACTGCTGACCTACAGAACTGTGAGCTGATAAATGGATGTTACTTTAGGCCATCTTTGTAGTAATTTGTTACACAGCAATAGAAATCCAAAGCAGTAGACATCCAGCTTTGGATCTGTAGCCCTTATTAAATCTTAAACTGTTTTTTGTCACATTGGGAAAATTCCCTGCCGTCATCCCTTTAAATACTGTTTCTGTGCCATTCCATCTTCTCTCTCCTTCTGGGACTACATATATGTGTGTGCATTTGTATGTGTTTGTGTGTTTGTGTGTGTGTGTCTTGTCTCAGCAAGCCTTGTGTCTGTATTTCCATGTATGCCTTATGTTCTTTTCAGTATTCTCCATCTTTTTCTATATATATTTAAGTCTGGACTTTTTTAACCCCATGTTAAAATTTAGCCATTCTCTTTTCAGCTGATCTATATGTTCTTAAATCTGTCCACTGAGCTTTTAATTTGAATGATCGCATGTTTCAGTTCTGTAACTTCCATTTGATCATATTTTTAGTTTCCAGTTCTCTACCAAAATAATTCATCTTGTCCCTTAATTCCTTAAGCATATTAATCCAACTTATTTTAAAGCTTGTAACTGACAACTGCCTTATCTGGACTTCCTGTGAATCTGTTTTTATTGTTTAATTTTTCTTTTGGTTTTTGGTCAAGTCTTGTCTTCTCTTATAACCAGTTATTTTTGACTGAGTGCTAGGCATTATTTGTGAATAATTATTGAGATTTACTTATTCCTCTGGTGGGAGAACTAACCAAGATGGTCTATATTTTTGTTATTTTACTTTCTGAGTGAAATGTTCCCAAGCCTGGGTTTTTTCCAGATATCTTCCTATCTGCCTTTTTTTTTTTTTAATCTTTTTTTTTAATTTTTTTTTTTTTTTTTTTTTTTTTTTTAGTGGAGGTGGGGTTTTG